TCATTGCAATATCTTGGCTTAGAAGATTATTGGTTAGAATCATATCTAGATATTTTCCTTAATTATTGCAATGCACCTTTTAAAAAACTGTTAATTAATTGCCTTGATAACGAGAAAAATTCTAAAGCTCTAATCGAATTCTGCATACGAAACAGAACTTTGAATTACGTGGGTTTATACAGCTATTCGGGCTTAGATGACAATATTAGAAAGGAATTGGAAGCATATGTCGCATTGGTACCATCTAAAGATATTATTGTTGATTTTTAACTATTGATAAGATTTTAAAGTGCACTACATCGTGTTTGAATCATGGTGGTCTGATTGCTAAATAATATAATTTAGCATAATTTGGTATCATCTTCGTAAATAAATCTCTTTAATAATGCATTTTTCCTGAAAATTTTGTTATACTTTTTTTTTTATCCATATCATTCTCAACGTCTCTCAATATATTTTTTTTCAAGTCGTAAACAACCTGGATCCGCTGTCACCCAATTTTTCGGATTCAGTCTGGTTGATTAAATTTAAAATCTGCATATTATGAATTTGCAGCAAAATCGTTATTAGAATAGTCTAAACAGCAAATAAACAATCAGTTAAAAAATAAAATATATGAATAATGAATGGCGCCATAATTCAAACTGCAAGATGTAATAATGTAAAAATTATTTATTACAAAAAGTAGTAATTGTAATAATATTTATTACATGTAGTAAATATTATTACATGTAATAATATTTTACTATGTAAAATTATTATTACAGGTAGTATTTATTATTACAATTTTTACAAGTAATAATTTTTACTATGTGTAATAATTATTGTCTTATATAATATTTATTATCACATATGTATAATAATTATACTTAGAGATGGGCATGCATGCCTAATCTTGCATGTGATACACATGATTTTTTAGAACCCATGCAGGATTTTTAATATAACCCCAAGTAAAATTATCTGGTTGGCATTACCACATAATCTGATTAGCATTAATATAATACCTGGCCTGCATTAGCATATTTACCATAAATACTTGAAATAGTGGGCATGGGCAGAGTTGTTAGTTGTAACTTATCATGGTAAGTTACCATAGTAAATTACAGTAAACCACTGATAAGTTCCTATGATAAGTTATCAAGTGCTTATTTAAAGATTACCTTCACCTGTAACTTACAGTAGCTTACCAGTAATTTACTAATAAATTATCATAATTTTACAATCCTGGGCATGGGTATTATTTCGAATTTTGGCCCGCATTAACAATATGTAGAACAAGAAAATTAAATTTTTGCATAGTTTTTTATTAGATACAAAAAATTATGAAATATGCAGATTTGTGATCCTATCCCACGTGGGATATGTATCAGGGATAGTAAATGACTTGAAATAACCCAAATGACTAGTGACCAGTCAGTCATTGGGTTATTTCACATTCAAATAACCATAGAAGGTCATTTAACATTAGTTAACTGATGGTCTAACGCCTTTTGGCCAATCATATTTGATTATTAGATATACCGGTAAAGTAATTTTTATAAAATATTATTGATAATCGTAGCTACATATAAAAGTCAAAGTTTACTAAGTTAATCTATATTTTAATCGACTTAAACAACTTTACCTAAGATGTTATCCTAGTAAAATTTGACTTTATATGTAGCTACAATTGTTGATAGTAATCACAACTTTTTATATTGGCTATCTGACCAATAAAATTACTTAATATATAAATGACCTAAATGACCTAATAACTCAAATAATCAGATCATTTACTCAAATAACTTGGTCATTTAAATTTTGAGTAAATGACCTGGTCATTTACATCCCTGATGTGTATCACATGTATAATCCATGTGTGACTCATAGGATTTTCTAAAAAACCTATTTTTAATTAGATAAATACTATACATATGTATATATATATATATATACTCTATATTAGTGTTGGGATCCATTTAACTAAACATCTGGATATCCGCAGATCATCCAGATATCTGGATACTTAATTTATTTTGCGGATACTATATTCGGATGTCTATCAAAATATCAGATCCATCCAGATAATCATCTGGATAGTTATATAATTTTATAAAGTCTTTTGTTCGCTACTTTATTCTCAAGAGAATAGAATTTTGCCAAGATCTATGCTTACAAGCTTATAATTTTAAAAAAATACCCAGCTCTGTTTCAAAATTTTTTAATTATATTAGTTCGCGATTTTACTTTCGTTTAAAAAATAATTGACATGAACATTTGAAATATTTTAAATTTATTTTTATTAATGCTGTTATAATACTGCAAATTGCTAATTAATATATTTTTTTTAATACTAATACAATAATGTATAAAGTTTTCAAAAGCCATTTTCCCGAAAGAAAAAATAATTAGTCAGTATTAAATTCTTTCAGAAAAATAGCTTTTGAAAATCGTACAGTAACCCTAACACAATATTTCAATAGGTGCTAGTTTGCTAATTAGTAATGCTGAAAATAATAGTATGAAAATGATGATTCAGAATTGTCAAATGAGGGCCCGAAGAACCCTCACATAACCAGGAATTTGCCTCTTATTCAATACATTTTATTAATGTTTTTTTTAGAGATACAAAGAGTACATCTTGCATAAGAGGTTTTTTTTTCTTTACAAAATACTTCTACACAAAAGATCTAGTACGTGGTTGTAATGGTTCGCCGGTTTCATTTACTTCTATAGTATCATCATTGATACAAGAAGAATTCACAGATAAATCGTCTATTTCATTATTGTCTACATATCAAATATTAAATCTAGAGATAGAAGCTACCCTTACGAGAGACACTGTAAATGATATAATTAAAGGTCTAAAAAATTTAATTGAAAAGATTGACCAGGAATTACTAGAATTCTTTGACAATAAACAAGAAATAATTATTTGTGAACTTTGTCAACAGTTTAAAAACGGAATCAATCCAAAAATAGATTCTAAAAGAAACTACTCAGAGGACGATATTTAATGAACAACAAAACATTAAATAATCATATTCACTGATTAAGCATTCTCAAAGGACAAATAGTCACCACAGAAAATTTTACTGATATATTCTGGCAGGATACCAGAATAGAAATATACGAAAGAATAATTAAAAAATTAACCAGAATCTCCAAGATAATCCAAAAAGAAATTGACGAAACTGAAAATCTTAAACAATCTAAAGATGGCACAGAAACAGATTCAGAAGAATCAGAATAATGGAAATCTTGAAAATATTAACCAAATATTTGAAAAATTTAATAAGGGTTACTTTAGTTTTGATCGACCCAAAGAAGAACTCCATTATATATTATTTGAAATAGTTTTACATCCAAAATCAATTAAATTAATAAAACCCAGTTATGAAGAATTAGAAAAATTCTTATAGGAGGAAATAAAAGAGAATAAAGAACTTTCAAAATTGGTCAAATATATTTGGAATAGAAAGACAACCTTAGAAGTACCTCTTTCTAAAAAGAATCAAGAAGATATTACAATAATATCTAAAGAAACGAAATTAAAGAAACAAATCTTTAAAACCCTATGGTTTAAAGATCAAAACCATTATCAAAAATGGTCAAAAGAATTAGAATTATTGGCACGAATTACCAATACAAACAAAACAGGATTAAAACGAATAGAACAAAAACAACAAAGGAAAAACGAAAATCGATTTAAAATCTTGGATGAAATAAAAATTGAAGAAATGAAAATCCTTAGAGACTTAGAATATTCAGGAGAAAAAGTAATATTTGAAAATGACAAAGATAAAACTTTTCAAATTATGATCCCAAAATCGGAACAATGGTTGAAGAAAATAAACAGTAGCCAAATGTATCTTGATTTGGTAAACAAACAAGATCAAAAACTAATTACAGAAATAGAACAGGATCAAGAAAGAAGGAAGAATATTTTAAATAAAATAAAGTGCTTAAATAATGATGAATTTAGAACAATTGAACAAACTCTGAAATATCTTTATAACCAAAGACACAATATGGAATACTTTTATAATCAAAGAAGAAATAATCTTTACCAAAAAACTCTAACAAACAAATTAACAAAATTTGATTGATTCGATAATTATTTAGAAGAACATTTACTCAAAGCAAAATTAATAACAATTGGAGGAGCAATAGGAGTAGGAAAAACCACATGGGCCCTACAACTTAAAGAATTCCTTATTCAATTAGGATACAAAGTATTCTTAATAGAAGAAATCACTTTACAACATAAGGATTGGCTTTCTTTAATGTATTCTAACATTAGTAAATATTCATTAGCATTCCAAGTACTATTAATAACACAATGGAACATTAATTATCAAAAATTAAAAAGACTCGAACTGGAAAAAGTTATTTATGAGAATACTATCATCATATGTGACCGAACTGCAGTCGAAACAAAAGTGTTCACTAAACACAATATCGAAAATCCAGAAGAATTACGATTATTAAAAAAACTTCTTTATCAAACGGAAACACAAATATACAAAGATACATATTATCAAATATATATCAAATGTGAAAAAGAAGAAATGATTAGGAGACAAGCTAAAAGAAATTGACAAGAAGAAAAAAATATAGATAAACAATATCTATACGAGATATATAATATGTATGAAGAAATGATCCAAGAAATATACCCGAAATACATTGAAGTATCAACAGAGATACCAAAACCGGAAAATATATTTCGATCACTATTTATTCATAGTGTGAAAAGAATCACAAAAAGACCGGAAGAAATAACATTAAAATCAGAACAAATACGAAACTTAATAAGAAGACGATATACAGTTATTACCCTATTCAGAGAAAGAGAATTATCAGACGAATCCATTGAAGTTTTAACAGCAAAACGGTCCAAAAATGCTAAAATATATCCGGAACAACATTCAGGATTTGGAAGACACTTTGAAGAATATAATAAAACATATTGGAACTGTATTATATGAGAAATTACTGAAGAATTAAAATTTAAAATGAAACCCAAACAATTACAATTCATCAAAACACATGGATACCTTTCCCACAACAGATCCGGAACTCAACTAGCAACCACCAACAATAATGATTATATAAAATCACCATATTACGTTGAAATAGCAATGTATCTATATCTGGTATTACCACATGAATACTCCCAAATAATTCATAATGAACCTAATAATATGTATCTACCTCAGTGGATGACAAAGAAACAAATGGACCATGAGATATGGACTCCATCGATCCAATACTTTAAAGAAGAAATATTCGAAAATATATACCAAGTTATTTAAAAGAATGAACCATAAAAGGAAAGATTACCAATAATCGTATTAAAGAACAATTTCCTAATCAAGAAATTTTTGAAGAATACAAAACGCTATATGATAGTGATAAACAAAACAATTCAGCCGAAAAACCGAATTACCTGTGAACATTATATCACAATTCATCGCCAAGGGCTATAGTAAAGCGTCCGGCATACATGTTATCTCACCCGGCACTCTCTCCAATCATGCCCGTCACACATAGTATGCATCACACTTACGATTACCAAAATCGGCAAAATTGGAAGATCCAAACAATTGCCAAAATTGGCAACCATATTATCAATCGAATTCTTATCATATTATATTAACAATCTTTGTTTATAAAACTTTGCTTATAAATATCTTTACAAATTATAGCTTATTAATCATAATAAATCATTAGTAATAGCTTACAAATTTAGCATTAGTAAACATTAGTTAGTAATCTTTATAACATAGTATTCTTGAATGTATAAATACAATAGCTTTTGACCTTTGAAACATTAAGCCGTTAGCGGCTCACCCTGAATATAAGGCGATTAGCGCCCAAAAATAATATAGACATACAATAGTATAGTCTCAAACAAATTCAAGCTCAAATAATAACATCTACAACAACTCTCACATAATAGCTTAAACAAATAAGCTCAATACCCCAAGAATGGTATACTAAAATATAATGCCCAAGCGACTTATGAAATAATATAAGCACCAAATGCTCAAGAAGCCTACCTGAGGCATTAACTTGCACTCACAAGTAATGGTTTACCCCTTCTATTACAAGCTCAATCAAAACTCAAACAACGTCCACAAAGAAAATGGAAATACTAACAACACCCAACAACGTTATAATAAATATAACGACCAATATAAGAGTAAATGAAACTCTAATACCAAAAGCGCCCAATGAAAGCTTTAAATCAAATAGACCTTAACACAAAGGTTAACTATTTGAAACCAAACAATGTATCAAAGAGACCTATTCACTGACAATACATAACAACAATGGTATCATGAACAATACTAATATACAATGGTGCTCAATACATTGTATATAATCATATTATATAAATACTATATAACGAGACGTTAATAGAGCAACTTGAAGCTTAAACCATAACAAGGACTTAGTAGAGCTAACACCCTTAATAAATACATACCTATACTTCATATTAAACAATATATTAATAAATAAATTATCCAAATTTATCAAATATAAACCATTTGTGCAAACAATTAGTAAAACCTATAATCCTTCTAACAAAAAGTAAAAAGTAAATTAGATGCCCAACATAGTTAGTATCATCTAACGAAGCCTAAGATAGGCATAGTAGTAACCAAGTAGTACCTCAGAGGCCTTATCTACCTCTGTATAAATAATAAACCATTCCACAGAAGAAAGAAACGGCCTAGCCCACTGTAAAGCAGCAAAAGCCAAACTTGACCTTTGCTAAAGACAATAAAGAAATTAGTAGCGCAAAAAACGCTCATATACTAATAACCACATCCAACACTAAATAATATAAACCAAAGGTGTCCAGATAAATTAAAAGCATACCAAAACTATCCAAGCAAAAAGCAAATGTATTGACAAACCAAATAGAGCTTAATCAACTCTTAAGCCGTACGATTGAAGAAAAGCTTAATCTAATTAAGAAGATTAACTACAATCAACCGAATCTGATATCGATGATCAATAAGGCTGAAAAGGCTAACACGAAACCTTATCGTTGAAACCACAGGAGTAATTAACCTAAAGGACAACTATATC